TAGAATATAAGGGACAAAAGGTGTAAAATGTTATTTAAGAACCTCAGTAAAAACCTGGGGAAAAAAAAATCTCAAATCCCAAATAAAGTAGGCAGAAAAGAAAATTCAGTTTTAATTATAAGAGCCACACCTTAAGGCAACAACTGTAGCTAAGAACACACACAGTATTCCCTCAGAAGACAGTAACAGATTATTTTTAAGGATTTAGACACAACAAACCTCTCAAAATGCTGCTATATTCTACAGCAGTGCTTGCTTCCCATGCATTAAAGCACTTAGAGACTAGATGTTTATTGCAGTCATTCAAACATCAGTTTTATTAATGGAATACCTGAATTTCAAAAAAAAAACCCACTAAAAATACTTTAAGCCATAGGTCAAGTTAGCACAGCAAGGCACACTTGCTTCCCAAGCATAAGATGTATGTTGTGAAGTGAAAAAGGAAGGATTTATTTCATGTTTTTCACACAGGTAAACAAAATTCATAACAACTTTTAATGACTTTCTAATGGCCATTCATTAAGCCTGGGAGATCTTAGAGCCAAACTAACATCATCTGACCCTCAGTTCAGTGGCTTAGTCACAGAATTGCCTTCTGTGCTTATCAGAACATCACAGCTGGTAGCTTTAAATATCTTCACAGGATGGGATGGGTAAGAGAAGACTTATGCTCTTCCAAACTCTTCTGAATATAGTTTTCAGAAGCTCAACATCAGAAAAAAGATTTTGCAAAGACTAACACTAAAACCCCTGAGGGGCAAGAAAAAAAGGAGGGAGGACCTTTCTATTCTCCTCCTGAGCTTATCTGCTGACTTACACGGTAACAGAGAGGGGGAGAGAGGCCTCTGTTGGTCTCGAAAAAGCTTCCCACAGGCTGTTTTGATGGCAAGTACAACGCAAAAAAAAATTACAAATGACTATACATTTCCATAGCAAAGATATACTGGATAATGCATTCCTATCGTGATTTCTATTACAACCTCAAGGCTAAACACACTCTACAGATGGAAACATTCAGTTCTGTTGTTATCCACGGCCCAATTATTAATGCAACTTTTAACTAGAGACAGGTTTACCTAGTCAGTATTCCTGTAAGAGCTTATGAAATTAACACAGCAATATTTTTAAAAATTGGTAAAAAATAGAAATGGGCATAAATACATAAGAATTGTTTTCAAAATAAAATTACTGCTTATTACAGTATTAGGTTTGTGGTACTTCTCATTTCTGCTATGAGAATTAGTAGTAGGTCTATCTGAAACTAGGCAAAGATGTTTGGAGCACAGCAGCGATTTTACACCTGGGCACGTACTCACATTTTATAGTCCTGTAACTTTGTGCTAACACACCACAAAACCTAAATGCCAGGATGATGACAATAAGAGAATGCTCATGTCAGAGCAATACCCAATTGCAATAAAAGACATTTTAGTGTATTTCAAACGCTTCTTTTAAGACTAACATATTGAAGTGCCAGAACCTACAGCAGATTTCTCCAAGTCTTGTGTCCATTTTTACGGCAAGTTCTGTCAAATCCATTTAATGCCATATTTTTATTAACCTAGGGTTTCTTTTTGTGCCATCAGACACTCAGATGACAGGTAGTGCTAGAGATCTGGAACAAATGAAAGCACACATGGGCAAACATCCTGCATTCACCTTTCAGTAAAAAAAAAAAAAAACTGCTTAAAAATGGAAAAAAAAATAAAAGCAAAACCTTATGTCTGAGCTAGAAGCTGAAACCTTCAAGCAAACACAGGAAGCAAGCACTTCACATTTTTATTTTTGGGAGTTTCTTGATTGTTTATGGTTTATTTTACATGTTTTTAAAAAGGAGACTGTATTAAAATACAACCTTACACTTCATACTGAATCTCACTATGAAGATCAAATACTTGCAAGTGCCAGCAAGTAGCATCTTGATTCCACTTATCCAGTCACCACGTATCAAAAACTGATAAAAACGAATTCTCCAGCCAAATCATAGTTCTATTTAAATATATAAACACCAAAATAATCATAACGGTAACAATCAATAAAAAAGTGGATTAAGAAAGCTTATTTTAAACAGTCTAAGCATAGGTAAATACAACAATCAAAAGCTACTAGCACTTTTCTAGCAGACGAGTAAAATACAAGAAAAATCTGGAAAGGGTTATTTTAAAACACAGTAACGTAACAACGGTGAAGGTGGGGGTTTCTTTTCAGATGCCTTTTTAAAAAAGGAAAGAAAACAAGTGCACTTTCAAACCCTTGTATGCCAAGTTTTAGCCCAGAGCAAGTTTTCGCTGCTGTCTTACGAACGAACCCTTGAAAATAAAGGTTTATAATGGAAATGCTGACAGACCCTTAACTATAGCAGCATGAATAGCTATAATTAAAGAAGACCTTTTGGCTACACCTCAGTCTGAAAATGAAAGACTGGAATTTTTACAGTATCCTCAAAGAAAAGCAACTGGGAAACCTGGAGTGAGATTCCAGCAATCCAACAAGATATGTTAAAGGGGATTGCTAAAACTATTTACTATTTTAAGCTTTAAATACTGAGGCATTTAGTTAATGTAACCAAGTCAGTATTTTCATAATGCTACTTAATCAGCAATAAAGAATGCTCCTGTGAGCCATCATCTGGGGTTAGCAGAAAGTGGCACATGAAGTTATTATTTCCTAACAGCCTAGAGGGAGCTGCTTCTCTCTTTAATCAGTAATCTCACTTCCTTCCTACCTGTAAATTCTCTGTCATACAATTATAAAATTATTAGACTGTGGTGTACAGAGAAATTACATTTATGAAAGGCCTAGTAGCTTATATCAGCCTGGATTTTAGAAACAGGCACTGAACCATTTCATCCTTTTTTGAGTCTGCAGACAGACCAGGCCTAATCAGTCTGGTCAAGCCAACAGTAGTTGAATATATGGTTAGCACAAAGTCATCCACACCTTTTGAGCCAAGAAAGTGATTTTAGTATTGTTTTACTTGCATGGCAACAGAGGACTATCTTCAGTGAGTCTGTCCAAGTGGGAGAGAGAATCAGTAATATTTTTGTGTTAAATACAACCTGAAGATCAAAGTGTTTTATCACAGAATATGCCAAGTTAGAAAGAAGCCACAAGGATCCTCAAGTTCAACTCCTGGCCCTACACAGGACCATTCCCAGGAGTCACACTACGTGCCCAATTGTCCAAACATTTCTCGAACTCAGACAGGCTTGGTGCTGTGACCACTTCCCTGGAGAACCTGTTTCAATGCCCAACTACTCTGGGTGAAGAACCTTTTTCTAATATCCTACCTAAACCTTTCCTGACATAACTTCAGGCCATTCCCTCAGGTCCTGTCACTGGTCACCACAGAGAAGAGATCAGTGCCTGCCCCTCCTGTTCCCCTCAGAAGGAAGTTGTGACTGCAATGAGGTCTCCCATTCGTCTCCTTTTCTCCAGGCTGAACAGACCAAGTGACCTCACATACTCCTCATATGGCTTCCCCTCAAGGCCCTTCATCTTCATTGCTCTCCTTTGGACACCCTCCAATAGCTTAATATCTTTCTTATATTGTGGTGCCCAAAACTGCATATAATATTCAAGGTAAAGTTGCACTAGTGCAGAATTGAGCTAAATGTTAAGGAATTCAGTTTCTCTGTAGATGGGATAAATAGGCTGGTAACAGTAACCAAATGTACAAATACAGAAGCTGCAATAAAGAACTGTTAAAAGCAAGACTCTAATAATCTCTCTCATATGGATTACTGTTAAGGTATGTTGATAATCAAAATATTTCAGCAGAACTGTTTTTTGTAAGAAAAGGTACGAATACTGTCCTGTACCTTGTTTGTGGTGAGCTGAGAAGTCTGGAATGAACTTCTATGCCCTCCTCTCTGTGCTACAAGAAGGCCACATAACCACCAGTCCTGGAAAGCTTTTGAAATAATGCCAAGTTACGAAATAGGCAACTTCTTCACTAGTCTCAAATTTCTCCTTATTTCATCTTTAAAAACAACAAAACAAATGCTGTGCATTAGCTAATGGAGAAAATGTCAAAGTATTTTTGAAGTCTCCAATTTATTCCAGGAAATACATTCAGTTGAACTGAAATAATAAATAATAAATCAACTAAACTTAGTTTTGTGCTTCATCTTTTTTCAAAAGACTGCCTGAAAAACAGTTGTCTTTGGATCTATAAGCTATTGACAGCTGCAGTCAAACTACTAGACAATAACAAAGGACCTAGTTAAAGAGAGATCTTGCATATGGGCCTCAGTATTCCTATTATGTACTCTTCCACAGCTCTTTACACATATTTCAGTCTTGCACATTTCAAGTAATGGCAGATCAATAGCTGCCTCTTAATATCTTATAAAAAAAAGGCAGTTTGGGCTTCAAACTGGAGGACTGCTTCTCAAAGGCATCAGTAGACAAAAAATATGCTTATTGAAGGGCACTGTGGGTGTTGAAAAATGAACTAGTACATCAAAGCAAAACTGCTTGAAGTGGTAAAATATGATTTCCTTCTTTCTTACTGAACCCCAGACAAGTATTTAAATCTCCATAACTGTGGTATTTGAATGCAACCTTGGTGAAAGGGAAAAAACAGAATGAAGAGTCTGAAAAACAGAATACGTTCAGTCATGAAACAAAACCAAAAAAACAAACCCCTCCAACTTAAGTAATTTAGTACAGAAAATTTTGAAGTTCCCTGTCCCAAAGGAAAGATGATATTGTCTGAAATAGTAGCAACTGGATGACTTTCTAAAGAGCCACTAAATTATAACAAAATCTCGGGATGTCAAACCTAATCTCCTGAAACAGTAAGGAAACATTTCTGAGTTTCAAAATGCACTGAAGTATTGGTGGATTTTGAAATTTAACATATCATTCACATCCCTCCAGAGATTTCTCTTTCCTTTTGCTCTATTTCAATAAAAAAATTAATATGAACTACACTTTAACCCTAAAAACAAAAACAACATGCCAGTCTATATGCACAATTTAACTAAATAACTTACCGAAGTCTGGCTAGTACAACCTGAAGAAAATTCAAGACCATACTCAGCTCAGCTCCTCGACAAGCAGGCAGCAGCATTGTAAAGCCATCATTTAGCAACTTTTCCTCAGAAAGGCTCAAGTAGCAGCTAGTCTCAAACACTTCCTGGACACCATCAATGTAGGTCGAAAGTAGAGTCCAGAGATTGTGTCTCTGCGTGTAGTCATTTTTGTTTACTAAAAACTCCTTTGCCTTCTCACGGAAAGCACTTGAGATTTTCTCAGCTAGGACGCTAACGTCCAAGTTCTTCTCAACATAAATCAAAAGGAAAGCAAAATGACCTCTCCAGATGAGAGCTCTCTGAGACACGGTGATGGAGGATGGAGCCAGGAAATCCAAAAGATCCAACACTCGACTCACTATATCTTCTGTCTCCACAACAATTGCTAGCATGAGGAATAAGCTAAAAAAGTTCTGCAGCCCCACTTCTGTCAGCTCCTGCATTCTTCTCCGATGGAACTTGGAATAAATTCTACATTAAAAAAAGAAAGAAACAAAAAACCAGGAAAGAGTAAGTTTCTTAACTCTTCTACCTGTTTGAGAGATTAAAATTGTATTTTCATGCTTTTAGTTTACAGTTATCCTCTTCCAATAACATTTAGATTTTAAATACCCTTTTTTCTCTCTCCTCTTCTATTCTTTTGGCTACTGGAACAAATGTGCTCCTTCATGTTCTGCTCCTATTTTAAACTACATGTTAAGTGTTTCCAATACGAGGTGCAGCCTAACCCTTCTTCCCTATCCAACCTCTAGTACACAGTTACGCACCATGTAAACGTCTAAACCTTCTCTACTTGTGATGAGTGTCCTCCATACCATGCCTTCATATCAATCAAGTTTAGCCCATGAGGGCTGCTAGTAAAGGAAGCTGCCAAATGACAGCTCTTTGCAACAGCAAATCATTCCTATATGCCAACCTCTTCCCTAGAAACTCCCTTATTTCCATGTGGAAATCAGCTACTGATTTCTGTTATGGCATATTGCCACAGCTGCTGTGATCAAAGTCTCACCTACCAAACCATCACTGCAGTAAAAGGGAGAGGAAGATTTCTAAAAGAAAATCCTTTTCTCTACAGTGTTTCTCCAAAGTCTGTATCAACCTGTATTGCATACCTGTGAAAGGAACTGTGGACTCCAAGTTTGGATGAAAACAGGGAAACTGAGGCGTTTAGAAGAAAAACTTCTCTCCAGCAGGAAGATGGTTAACTTTACCTGTACTGCTTATGGGACAGTGCTCAAGTCATAAGTAGCTGATGGTGACAAGCACTGCTACTTTGCAACTTTAAAGTGGTTGACAAAAACAGAAAGCTTTTACAAAGACATCTTTTCTGTGACCTTTGCTTGGATCTGGACTTTTAAACAAATGTCACCATTCCTACAACAGAGAAGTAAGATGAAAATGGCTTGCTTAACTTTTTGATTTGTAGGTTTAAAACCTTGGGTATATCCTTCACTTTTAATTTAAAGTAAGTTCCACATACATAGTTAAACATCCATAAAGGCTGGTTTCTTACTCTGTCACCTGGAAAAATAGTTGGAAATGGTGCTGAAGTTATCAAATCTAGCCACCAAAATTACAGCAAATCCAATTAATGTTGTTTAGTAGTAAATTACTACTGACAGGCATTTACATTTTTCATGCATCAATTAATGCTTGGTTAGCCACTGAAAACACAGTTCATCCCAAAATCATAGCTGTAGGCTGTTAAATTTTGCTACTTGTGTAATTGATTTTTTCAAGGTAGAAATTACGAATACTGGTTGAGCAGACCGATGCACTGAGTGTTGTGTTTTATTATTCCCACTCTTAAATTAGGGAAAGCAACAAGCTATAATAGCACAAAAATGTAAGTATAATTTGCTTTCAGTAAGAACAGAGTAGGGTAATTAAAATCACAAAATAAAGCAAGACACTGATACTAAATCCAACAACATATTTGTTTCTATAAAGTTGTAGTGATTTTAAAACCCAAACTTTAACTTTACTGACTGTAACAACTTGTGAAGTGTACACAGACATTATATTTTTGACAGGTAGACTTTTCTGATAGCCAAGACAACCCTGCTTTCTTGGAAAAAAACACCACATAACTTGGTGAGGTGTGCGTACACATGGGCAGTTTCTTATGTATTTATTACTTGTGTACACGAATATCTTACTAATATTTACTAAAATTTTAATTAATTTTATTAATACTTAATAAGATCTTTTTTAAAAATATCAAAACTGTAAACCAAAACTAATTCTAAGTCTTCTATATCTAATGAAAAAATGTTAAAAGTTAGCCACTGTAATAATTACTACAATCTCATTACTATAATAAAAGTCTCATGGATTCAGTAAGCATATAAAATACGAAGAGTTTGATTTAAAACATATATATTTTATGGGTTTTTTTTATATAATGACTGACTGTACTTCTTAATTAGTATGTTTCAAAATTAAGTGAAAAATTAAAACCCTCACAAAAAATATTGTGAGAAATTTTGGAAGTCATTAAAAAGAAACTAAATATAAATGAAATTGCAGGCCTACCAAGTGTCAGTCTGCATGTTCTTGGACAACACATGGCTTATATGCAATTCAAACGCAATTTCTGTGCTTTTATTACATTACCTGTCTGGCAACTGGGTTGTACCACTGCACAGGTTGCCAGTGTACCCAATGCCTGGCCAGCAAGATGAAGTAAATCACCACAAACCAAGTGATTCTTGGACCCAGCTCCTGGATCCTGTTACAGCCTCAGCTGGCAACAGAAACTTCAGGGAACTGCTTTCTTTAAATTATTAATCACCTTGGATCCCTCATCCACCTTACTTTCTCACGGGCACAGTACCCGCCCGCTGTCTTGCATGTGGCTGGAAGGGCCACTGACTCACTACACTTCTTACAACAGGAGAGAAACTAAATAGTGGCCATACCGTCCTTTAATTTGTTTCCAAGGATGCATGTCACTGTTTTCTTCTTTAATCATCCGTGCCAAAATGCAGAGAAAAATGAAGTAACTGTTGTGGGACTTGTACAGAGAAGGGATCTGCTGTTCGCAGCAGCAACATTTCACCAACTCAAGCATTGACAAAGAAGTCTTACTAACATTTGCCAGATCCTTCAGACCAAGCCAAGGAACAGCAAAGCCACTGTTCTAAAAGAATAAATGAAAACAGAAAGATTATAAATAACAGTAAATGCTAATATTCCAAATGCAATAAGATGCAATCCTTCACACAAACAAAAGGATATATTCCTACCACAACTAGAAAATAAAAATTTATTGTAACTATGTACAAAGTGTTTTTACAAGATCTTAAAATCAGTAGTCCTGATGAAAAGTAGGACTAAAATTATAACTTATTCTATTGACACATAATGTAATGGATCAAAGCATAAATTTACACATGATTTCATTAAATAAATAGCAAGTTTAGGGATACTGCCATTGACTAGGTAGTTTTACAGAAGTATTTGCAATCAAGCTTGGCTACAGGAAAATCAGAATTAATGAGTAAAATTCAAGGACTGCCCAAATGCAATTCTATATTTTCATATATTCATCTACTTACCAGATTCTTGCTGTAATAATCCCAGAGTATGGTGACAATAGATAGGTTCAAATCCCAGAAACTACACAAAGTCAAACAGCACTGAAGATGCATTCTTAAGTGTTCCTCCAACACACCGGTCTTGAAAAGGAAGTAAGAAATTAATTTTAGGAGGGGAGCATTACCTTATCTACACATAAACCCAGTACTAACAGACTATTCAAAGTAATTTCCTAATACAAAAATTATTTTTAATTATATACTGTTGAGTAAATGCATCTGCTAATACAAGCAACAAACTAGAAGAAAAAAGCTGACAATTGTATCCTGTAATCCAGCCAACGTAATACTGTGTCACAGTATCACAGAATCATTTAGGTTGAAAAAGATCTCTCAGATCATACAGTCCAGCCTTTGACTGACCACCACCAAGTCAACTAAACCACAGCACTAAGTGACACATCCAGTTGTTTCTTTAACACCTCCAGGGATGGTGATTCCACCACCTCCCTGGGCAGTCCATTCCAATGTCGAACAACCCTTTCTATGAAGAAATTCCTTCTGATGTCCAGCCTGAACCTCCCCTAGTGCAGCTTAAGACTGTGTCCTCTTGTCCTTCACTAGTTGCCTGGGAGAAGAGGCTGACCCCCACCTGGCTGCAACCTCCTTTCAGATAGTTGTAAAGAGTGATGAGGTCTCCCCTGAGCCTCCTTTTCTCTAGAGCTGTAGACACAATAGGCTAACAGCCAGCTCAACATTGTGACCCTAACTTGAAACATGACTGCATGGTACAGAACCTCACAAAACAGCAAATGAGGTAGTAGCCATACTGAATGCATGAGTCAGCTGAACACTTCAGCCCTTCTGTCACACATGTCCCAAGGAAAGCTCATTCACCACTGACACAGAGGGAAGGTGCAACCGTCTAAGAACTCATATTTCTCTTTATAATATTCCAAAGAGGAAAATCTTTTGTTTCTGAATCATGTTCCTTCTCAAACCTCTGCAACATGGCTATGTTGCTAACATTCCAGACAATTCTAAGTCAAGGGCAAAATAAGCCTCTGAACACTGAGGAAACAAAAAGTACAAAAGATTTCCCACAACATTTTTTGTGTTCCAAATTTTGCATTCAAAAGGAAGAAGGTTTCTAGGAAAGAAAACAGGAAGTACCAAACAATTTAAACACAGTGAAGCACTCAGCTTGTAATTCTGGGATATTGAGAGTGAAATTCTTCGCATCCAGCTTTTGATGACAACAAAACTGGACTTGCATCAGAGGTAGGATACTAGGAGCTTCATATTCCAGCTGAAATCATGTGTTTAATCCAGTTTATTTTAGACATCTACTTTAGTAGTCCTGTAAGGGCTTTACTGTCTCCATTGACTATAAAAGTGGTTTAGTGGACAACTTATGTGTAGTTGTCTTAAGGGTAGACTTTTACACATGTAAGTCTAACACATCTCTGGCACAGTAGCAACTTGTTCTGTGACAAGAGAAACTCTGACCTACTTCTAGCTTTCAAATAAATCTAGATACTATACAGGCCTGGAATTTGTAACAGCATAAAATAAGCTAAGGAAGAATAAAAGGAGTAAGAAATATAAAAAAAATACAGGATTAATTTTATGACTCAAAATCATAGCCCTAGGAAGGGGAATGAAAACAACTATACCTCAGATAAATATTGGGAAGTTATCTCCTTCAATTTCAATTACAGTGCTAGGTCCTCAGTTATATCCCAAGCTCACCCAACTCAGAAAATTCTTAAATAAATCACTAATGCCAGGTGATGGAAAAAGATGACATTAGGTTGTATTGGGTTTTGTTATGTTGGTTCTTTTTAGGGGATTGCTTGGTTATTTTTGTTCTTGTTTGAAAAAGTCATTCAATAAATAGCTGTTACTGGAAGAGTGGGACTTTTTACAAGGGCTTGTAGTGATAGGACAAGGGGGAATGGCTTTAAACTGGAAGAGGGTAGAGTTAGATTAGATAGTAAGAAAAAATTCTTTACTGTGAGGGTGGTGAGACACTGGAAACAGTTGCTCAGAAAAGCTGTGGATGCCCTGTCCATGGAAGTGTTCAAGACCAGGTTGGATGGGGCTTTGAGCAACCTGGTCTAATGGAAGGTGTCTCTGCCCATGGCAGAGGGGCTTGAACTAGATGATCTTCAAGGTCCCTTCCAAACCAAACCATCCTATGATTCTGTGACTTCTGGTCTTACCCACAATACTACTTCTTTTGGCTTACTATGTTTTAGAGCTGCTTTTATTCCTGTTTTCATAGGAATAAATGCCACACATATGAATCTCACTCACTAAGTTGTCTCTACCTGGTTACACATTCATGTGGAAAACCTCATTTGCTACCCTTCATCAAAATTCTGTAAACAATTATACCATCACCTACAATAACTTCTAGCCATGCCTGCCTTCTCTTCTCATGCACATATGGCTTCTAAAGTGGTACATTTCTAAAACAACCAGCAAATTCAAAAGGCATTCTCAGTTGTCATAGAAAATTATATATTCAAGACACTATGTATAACATATAAAACCCACTGAAATAGAAAAGTGACTCTCCAGTAGAGACCCATTAAAAATATACAGAATAATAATTCAAATACAATAAAAATGCCTACAAATGAAAAGATACTCGAGTATTTTTTCAGATATGACATAACTAACTATTAAATCAGTAGACTTCCCAAAAATCACAATCTTGCACCAAAAAACAGGGGACAGAACAGCTGGTATTTTTTAATTAATAAAAGTAGGAGCCTTGATATAAAACAAAACACCGCAGCTGATCATATCTATTTCTCTAGAGGGATCTACCCAGTTACAAAAGATGTAACCCCACACACACACCAAACACACTCCCTTTAGTCTTAAAGCTATGATGTTGTGTCTAGGATTATGTTTAGAATCTAATTCAACAAACAATGACTGTTTCAGTTGAATTAATTCAACAATAAACGTGGCATTGTGAGCAGCTTCAATTTGAACCATTATTTATCTGCCCAACAATAGTTTTAGAACAGTTTCTAAAACCAAGATGGTAATGAAGGCTTTATCTCAAATTTAATATGAAAAAGTTCTCCAGACTTCAAATATCCCTGGGATTAATGGATTCTCTCATTGCTCTTTTGCTTAAAATGGTCTCTTGCACTGCTGGAAATACTATCAGAACTCTTGAGGTACTCAGCTTTTAATTTATCGCAGAAGGGAGAAACACCAGATTCTATCAAAATGATAGTACTATTGAAACACAACATTTTTCTTTTATGACCTCCTACTGTAGTAACAAAATTGGTTTTCTAGAAATCCAACAAATACTTCTCTATCTTTTTTAAAGTGGAATTAAACAAAAATACAGTAGAGGTATAACAAAATTGAGGCAGCAATGAAACAAGAAGCACTTATGTTCTAAAATGAGAAGTCTAATAAGAGACTGCTATTAGTGCTTAAGAACTAAAAAGCTTTTGATTCTCACAATAAACTTCATAAACACAAATTCATCTTATACTGACATTGCACAAATTTAGTCAGTTTGATGTTGCCTCATAGACAAAAACAGCTACGCTAATATTCAACAATTTTCATTTTGTAGTACAAATATAATTGTAAACCAGCTTTACTATTTTTATAGCCAAGTAAGAGAATTCCAAATTACAACAGGAGGAAACACTTCATATAACTAGTCTCCCCAAAAATGCCCATTTTTTGTGATACAGATGGGAGATTTTTCACAAGAGCAATTGTCTTCAACTCTTATCCATTAAGAATTAAAAAAGAGAGCAATTTCTGGCTGAAGAATTCAACTTTTGGTCAACTGTTAGAAGATGAAAGGATATATCCAAGGAAGCAGCACACAACACTTGCCCACGTACCCACGATTCCTCATATCCTCTCATAAATAAAGTATTTTTATTTCCCATCCCTATTGATCCTCTAACCTGAACAGCACCTTCACATCTTTTCCTTGCTCAGCAGCAGGCTGAGTGTAACCTTATAAAGGAGTTTCTATCTGGTGACAGGGCATTGTAGCACCCCTCTACCACCTTCACCTGTACATGCACACCTTCTTCAGGAGGATCCAGCATATTCTGGATGAAGGTAGCTCAGGCTCTCTCCTGTCTGCATGTGACCACTAAACACAACAGGATTACTGAAACTACCAAAACGCTGCAGGTTTAACACAGGTTAGTCATTTTTGCATCCCAACACTTAACCGCCCTAAGGATGTTAAAGGCAACTCCAGCTTCTGCTGATTCACCATCAGAGGTGACCATTCTTTTCTCTACTTTCATGATGCTCCCTTACCCTCAATGGCTGCAACAGTGCCTATTAAATTATCTTTTCACAACATAGAATTTGAAGCTCATGTGAAGAGAATAGTTACTGGTAGGAGATTATCAACTTACATTACAAATATATGTTCAGTACTTTTTTCAGATATTTTAGAACACACAAAACTATGCATAGTTGATGTCATCTTTGTTTCCCCTCCTTCTTTGTAAATTCCCATTCTTTTTCGGAATACGTATAGTCTACAAGCTTTTGAAGATAGGGAGCAACAAGCACAAGTGGATTATGAAGTTGATGGACATAGTACTAAACATGATTAATTTTTAAGCTCCCATATGAAGTTGCTATCCACCAATTCTTGCTCTCTCTAGCAAATGAGTGATTCAGTACTATTATTTCTTCTAATTCATATTGCACAGCTATTGCTGTGTATCTGTAGTGTAGATAACAGGGTATATGCTGAAAAGGATGGCTCAGATATTAAGTAACAAACTCAAGCCAACTGTTAATAAGCAGTATCATCGATTTTGTCCTGCTGTTCATTCAAAGAGCACTATTCTCCCTTTTGCTTTTTCTTGCTTCTCCATATTCCATTTCATTACTGATACTTCTTGATATCTCATTGTGCTTCTCATTCCTACGTTTTCTGGACTCAAAAATACTCAAGAGGTGCAAAAGGATAAGATAAACTGTAGGAGTGGCTACTTGAAGCTGAAAGATCAACAGAGGAGACGGACATGTATGCTGGCAAAAGAAAATCTCCTTCCTAGACGCTGTCAAGAAGGTTGCTGTGCAGGAATAGGGAGCAGGATGCATTTCTTCATAGAGTGCTACATTCACTTGTGCATGCACATATAGGAACTAATGTGCCCCAAGGAGCACTTCCCACAGGCAGTTAATTCCATAATGCAAGAAAAAGATAATGAACAAATAAAAAAAGGAAATAAACTAGATGGCTCCTTCAATGGTTGGTAATAGTTACAATCATGTCCTTGGCAAATGAAGGTTTAATTCCTACAGTAGTTGCCTTTGGAAATCAAAACAGATCTTTGCTTTTGAACTTGGCCACCTAGCTGCCTTTGTAAACTGTCTACAGTTCAATAATTGTTTAACAGAAGCATCAAAAACTGTGTATTCCAGGTATATTCAACTTCAAAGTAATCTTTATTAAAAATAATAAACATTCACAAGCAAAGAGGAATATTTTGAACAAAAAACGTTAACTACAAATGTCCTGTTACTGTTTCTCAGGTTGCTGATGTGCAGAGGATGCAACAGAGGAAGGTGGCTAATAAGCTACTCAGTTTTTATGCATCTTATCTAATTTAAATCTCTCCAGTTTCTCTCACAGAATGGTAAACATCCAATAAGTAATGTCATTACTGTGGTTTTAATGTATGTGCACAGTTTGTATTTTCAGTTATGTACTGTATAATCATTCAGAAAGAGTTAATCTTTTAAGCTGAAAGAAGACATAACGAAGTGTAAAAGTATAGAGTATTAAAAAGTTGAAAAATCATGCAATCATTTCAGCTATCCCAACAACCACCAATATTTTCTTGAAAAAAATTTACACTCCAGCTTCAACTACAGTTGTTGCTACTGCACAAGCAAGGCAGTAAAAATAATTTAAAAAACCAAAAGAACAGATTCCTCTTTTGCTTTCAATCTCAGAACTTTGTGGGATTTTTCTTGATTCCGTGAGACCAAATAAAAAAAATAAACACGTTTATTCTTGTCTTAAACATACACAAATAAAGAAATTATTTTATAGGTGTTGCTGATACAACATTTGCGATTTGTACCATGCAACTTCACAACAAATTTACAGAACTATAATGTAACATATTTTAAAACATGATGAACAGCATATTTAAAAGAATTTTAAAAGGAGGTCAATTTTGACCTCTGGGCCATGAAGCATTGCATTAACAGTTCTGCAGAAAGAAAAATGATAAGGTATGAAATGAGTGCTCAGAAACTAGAACCTTATCAGTAAGAGTTTGATTCAAGCCTGTAAGACAAATTGCTCAGCAAGGCAAGTCACCTTCCTGCTGTGATGAGGATATAGCTGAATTTTCAATGCAACTGACTATCTCCTTCATCATGTCTCCTCAACTTGATATCCTTACATTCAGTATCAGGTTTACCTTTTCTAAGATTCCAGTTCTTATTCTGAATACATCTTCTCTGAGTAGCCATATACCTATCATTCCAGGATAATTATCTTTTTTTGTTATCTGACAATTTAGCATCAGGCACGACCACTTTAAAGCAAGAGTAACTGCTAACAAGGAGGGGACTGTATACTGTCATAGTTCAGGTATGTCAAGGATGTTCATTTACCAGTGATAAAAACATTAAATTCCAAAAATGCACTTGTTAGTTGGACTTTGTTTCATGCACTCTCTTTTCCTGAAACCATCCCTGACACTTCCTTGTTCATTATTCCTTCCTTTACACACTTACTTGAGCATCAGTGGATTTTTTAAGGAGTTCTTCCACAAATTTCCAATTGGATTCCTTCTGTTTCTGAAAAACAATAGAAAAAGCATTTGCATCCCCGAAAGGAAACATTATGTAATAATGTGAAAATAAGCAGGCAAAATATTTCCAGAAATATTTAGTTTCATGACAGCATATTGTAGTCATCACTGAAAACAGCTTTTTTGTTATATGAATGTAATTGATATATGTCCTAAAAATTAGCCCTCAAAAAACAAATAAAGAGCCAAAAATAAAGAGTATGCAATTTGAACCACTTTAAGTGACTCATCTGCAATCCCAACCTTCACCTTTAATAGAGAAGCAAAATATTCAGGCATTTTTTATTAGTCCAAGCAGTACGTCTTACAATTTCTTCCTTTAATGTTCTGTAAAAAGGAAGATACAAGGGGTAAGAGGGAAGAAAAAGTACAATCTCACATTTGCTTGTGTTTTTTTTCCGATGTAAAAAACAATTCTAACTCATTTTTTCCAGGACAAACATGAATGCTTGATTTGGCCAATTCAGTAAGGGTAGTTCAAATATGGTCTATAATTCATATTCTTCAGCTTGCAAAGACAGATGATTATCCATTTGAATCAAACAGGCCATGCCAGTGAAGTAAAAAAGATTTGCAGGGCAAAGTATATTAAAAAGAGAAAAAAAAAACCCCACATCTATTTATGCAAAGTGGGAAAGAAAAGGATGGAAGGTTTTGCAACTAAGGCCATTTTCTCAGAGGGAAGGAGGGGGAGGAAAGGAAAAAAAATAAAGCAACCAGGCCAACATACTTATAACTTTAGGAGGTCCAACAACCATATCTTAGATTCAGCTATGTATATAGCCTGTGTAGATAAGTATATGTGTGAACATAGTACTTTCATCATTATCCTGCCTTACTTATTCCCTGCACTATCATAACTGTTAAGCCTTGTAGATTATTCTTCAGATAGCTGTCCCTTAAATGCCAGTAAAGAACTTACAAGAAAGAGCATTTTATGCTTTGATAATTGAAATATAACTATTTTCCAGCAGCAACACCATTGTGTTCCATCCTCATCTGACTATACTAATTAATGCTGTGACTTGGTGACAGTTCCAGGCAGAACTTCAGAGAGTACCAAGATAATTTTAAAGATGAACTTTTTAAAAAGATGGACTAATACTTGTGTAACACAGTTTGACTCCTTGGTGGCTTTGCATTTTTGCTTGAAAAGGAAAAGAAGATTCTGAAAAACAGCTAATGGTAGAAAGCCTTAGTCCGTAGACTGTTCATGAAACAAATATAACTGAAAAGACAGATCTACAGAAAGTTACACTAAAGCTGTGATTTCACGATTCAGCAACTAGAGTCATATCAATTAAGAAGTTCCCACTGCTTCTTCCTCATCCTGCCAGCTGCTCTTTCTGCCCTCACAACTGTAGAAGGTACTTGCTCAGTTTTTCTGGTACTTCTCTTTGTGGGATGCAGTGCGAACCAGAGCAGTGAACCGACCCAGAGCTTTAGAAGAGAAAGAAAGACTGAGAAAGGGAGGAGGGTCTGACCTAGGTAATAGGTCATAAATAATTGTACCAGAACAGCAGAGGGCACATCATGCCTAGGGCAGTGTGGTGGGTTGACCTTGGCTGGATGCCAGGTGCCTATCCAGCCACTCTATCACTCCCCTTCCCAGCCAGACAGGAGAGAGAGTAAGGTGGAAAACAACGCACAGGTTGGGATAAGGTAGTTTATTAAAGCAGAAGCAAAGCACAAGCTTACATGTGCAAAAGTGAACCAAAAGATAACCAGATTTATTCTCTGCTTCCCATGAGCAGTGATGGTTGGCCACTCCCGAGAAGCAGGGTTTCAGCATGTGTGACAGTTCCTCAGTAGGCAGCCATTGGAGACAAGGAATGCCTGCTTTCCTGCTCCTTGACTTAGCTTTTATGTCTGAGCTGATGTCACATGGTCTGGAATATCCCCTTGGTCAGTTTGGGTCAGCTGACGTACTTGGGTCCCCTCTAAGGATCTTGCCCTCAACTGAGGAAGGAATGTTACAGTGCTGATGCTGTGCTCAGCAGTAGCCAGAACACTGGTGTGTTATCAACACCCTTCTAGCTACCAATGCAAAGTTCAGCCCTGTGAGGGCTAGTATGGGGAAATAAACTCCAGCTCAGTGAGACTCAATACAGGCAGTGAGCAGGACTTAAGCTGTTACTGATTCCAAAGGCTTTGCATCAGAGCTAGCATTCTGCCAAGGAGTAAAGGCAGCACTTCAATAGTGAATATAACCCAGGATTCCCAGACAGTTCTGGTTAGTATTTACATCAGACTTTTGACTGCTGCATTTTAGAGCCCAGTGTTATGTGACTATCTACACACTGGCATGGTCCTACTGCAGACTCCAAGTAAATCTGGCCTTTTAGCAGTTGACTAGTTTTATCAGTAATGAGTAGATATTAGTTGTGCTAAATGTCTATGAGACCGCTGAATGTCTAGATCGACCTGCTCAGAATGTTTTTAGCAGTATCAGTCCAAAGACACATGTGTTATACAACGGGTGTTTATTGCCAAAGTTCCAGCTCATCTGCAGTACACAGATCACTTTACAAGATCCTGGAGTAATCTGGGCAAACTCTTGACACCAACTGGAATTGCTTACAAGAGTGCACCCAGGTTCAGCCCAAACTCAGGAAAGAACATCAGCAACCACCTGCTGCAATCTTTTTTACCCACAATTGTCTCTATATTTTAACAGACTTGTTTCATTCAAATCCCAAAAAATTTACATCCTAACAGTATTCCCTACTGCACTGGCAATATGGCACAATAACAGTTTACAATCCATTCTTGTCAAAAAATAAGTAGAACCTACATCTCCTACTCCAAACCTGGTGGCTTAAAACATTCTCCCTCCAACCCCAGAGAGTCCTAAAAGCCAACAGAACCTGGAGACCTCAGGGTCCATGAAAGTGCTGCTAAAACCAAAAACTTAAGCTGAGACCCCCGGGGTATGCAGGAAGAAACTTTTGAAAGCATTAACTAAGTTGACTACCTGGAAAAGCCATATTAGGCTTCTCAGCTGGAAGTTCCATGTTTGCTTATCTTGCCATTTAGTCATTTCAGATTATTCTATTCAAAGGCAAGAATTCTTAGCCCCAAGTAACTCTGCCTATATTACCCTAGCCCACAGGATATTGAAATTGACCCCTGCAATGTTCAGAAGTAGCAATTTTTCTCATCAGGTCCCATCTGGGTTTTAAATGTACAAATCCTGCTTTTCAGAAGAGTGAAGTGGGACCTGAATGGGGGGATATGGAAAGAGACATGTACTGTACATCCCTCAGAACAGAGTCTCTAAGAAACCTGGCCAAAATTTTCCAGTAGAAGGAAGTAGTTTCATGTGTGTGAAATATACATTCAATATATATGAATCATTGCATATTTGAAACTGCGTTATATGAGCTAAAGGGGAAAAAATAAAAAGAAGCAAGTCTGAGACCTACTTAGAATTTTAAAAGCTTTCATAACAACCTCAAGGCCATGCAGACCACATTAAAAAATTGAAAATCTTCCACAGATGACATAGCCTTAGAGGCAATTTTTGCTACAGAGCACACGAATAACCATCATTATGACACATCACCCTCCCACCTCTGATCACAGTTAATTAAAAGAAAGCATGTGTCACGAAGCTATTGCATCAGGTGTTTAACCAACAAAACGGGACTATATTGAGCCCTGATGTAATTCCATTGACTTCACAAATTTATATCACTATTCTACCTTATAATGCTCAAAGAATACTTGAGGTTGCAATTCGGGGAGGGGGACAGGACCCAAGTAAATGGTTACCATCAACTATCTATGACAGATTACATTACTGAGTGAAAATGCACTGATGTTACTGAGAGATTTTTTTGTACAAGAGAGATCCTTGGACAAATTTGCAGCCACACTCAGAAATGCAAAGCCAGAAACATCAAGGAGTGCACACAGGATGGTGTCATAATTTACAAATCAAGACTTGGAAATTCTTTTCTCCAAGGTGGGCTCTAAGGAAAAAAATATTATTGGATCTTGTGCAAGTCACTTCCTGACACTGTTTCAGATTCCTACTTTAAAATAAGAACAATGGGAATCCTTTTTTCCATTCTTTTTTGGTTTATGTAAATAATACAGTGCCTGGAGCAAAAAAAAAAATCTCTCACAAGGCTAAATATATAATCTATCAATATGAGATACAGGAAAAAAAAATCCAGTGATCAAAGTAAACAGTATCACTGCATTTGGATTAAGGCATTAAACATAAAAAAACCAATATAAGTGCCTGTTTCACACTGATTTCTGTATTCAGCCTGGGAATAACCTTTTCTCTCCATCTAAGTTTCTTAATAAGCAGGGAGTGTAGTAAAGCTATCTTCCAGTGCTCCTCTGAAACACACTATGGACTGTGGTCCTCTCCCATCCACACAGTAGCAAGGCAAAAGCAGGGCTTGAGACAACCTTCAGTGTAAGAATCATGAAGGAATTTGGTGCATCAGTACCAAGTATGCATACATCTTGCAGGTGTAGGAATAGGATGTGCAGGTCTCATCTAGGCCCCTTATAGAATGCATGGTAATGTCAAATCTCTCACAATGAGGCCCACACACAAGAACTGATTAATCAGGGATTAGCCTGCTCTAGCCCGTAGGCTTTCTTGCAACTTACTGCCAGAATTTCCTAAACTGAAGCTTAAACTCAACAATTATTAGACAGTGTCTATTGGTAGCACACCAACATAAAAATTAAGTTGTATACACAAATATATGTGCAACTATGGAAAGATGACTGGGGATAAAATTAGAGGAAACTGAGAAGTTATATTCACACCCTAACAGAAATTATAATGGTATGGAAATTACAGGGTAAAATACAGCTGCTAGTCCTTGGATGAAATGCAGTTGGCAGCTCCACAATGATTCCCCATACAACAATAAGCACCTGCTAAGAGGTGTGGAACGGAGGATGAAGTGGAGTGAAGACACCACAACCAGGCTCTGTGGAAATCCTTCCAGAGAGGGGAACTACATGGTACTTTGCACCTGACAAACGGCACAGCACCTGTCAACCAAGGGAGGTGGGAGATGTCCTGCTGCTGAGCCAACAACTGTGGCAAAATCTCTCTTCTCAGATTAACTTGGTTCATTAAAGCCTAACTGTAATATTAGTGCACACCTCCATCCCAAAGTCACCTGTCTCCAAGGTATGACTACCCCCCACTGGGCATGCACTCTGTATTTTTTGACTGTATCTAAAGCTAAGCAGGGAACTTTACACCAAGAAGTAACAAAGGTATTTATGACTAAAGTCACTTAAGCTCCACATAAACATAAAGAAATAGTATAGAAGCAAGTCGAGAATGGAGAAAAAGTTAGGGAAGGCTCCATCATAACTGCTAGGATCAGTCAACAGGCTGAACCTGTCTTCTCCCCCCATAGGGATGCCTATGGGCTAAGAGCCACTCTGTGCACACTGAATACTTTTATTGGGACTAGTGTTTGTCTGTGTATTGCTTTCAATAAGTTTTTTGCAGTCAGATACTACCACTGGCAATCTCTGAACCTTAACCTGTCACAATTTTCTATTAATAAGTGTGTTTTTCCATAAACTGTTACCGCGAGTCCTTCGTGGGTTTTGGCAGCCGCTGGCAGCGGGTAACACACTTGAATAAAGTGGAAGATCTGCTGAGGGGTCATAAAGTGGGAAGACCTGTTGGTGTATTTCCCTGAATAAGTCAGGGGAATTGCCCTCCAATCCAGCCGGACCGTTTGGTGAAGGCACCCCATAACAGGATGCTGACACACAGGTCAGGCACAAGGGTCTCAGCTTTCCTGGGAGCACCAACAGACAAATCGAACACTAAGGGTCAAGGAAATCTCCCCATTTCACGTGACAGCATCTTATTGTGCCATTGCTGTGATGAAAAGGGCATGCAATTAGACAGACTGAAATTTATCCGGAGAAGGGCTATCGCTTTAAAGAAAAAAAGGGGCATTAATAATTACACAGTCAATGTCTGAGATTTATACTTCATACAGTACAAACTAATGTGTTCAGTTCCTAAAATAACAAACCCAGTCAAGCATTTATGCTGCAGGCACACGGTTTTAAAACATATGCTACATCATTATGTATATGTGCCACTAAGTAGTTGGGACATTCAAGTTTCCTTAATACAGTAATCTACTGAATATCTGGTATATAATGTGAATATGTCAGAGGCTCCTAGAATGTTTACTGACTTGTACAAACCACATCTTAACACCACCAACTTTAAAGGATTTCTTTTAAGGAGTACGAATATTCCTGTATTACAACATTATTTGTTTTCTATCAATAAAAATAACCAAAGAGATCAAAATCAATTATAATAACTCTTTGGTATTTAGAAAAAAGTATACCCACCTTTTCATCTAGATTTCCATTACGGTCAAACTGGTAGAGTGATGCCAGATGACTAACAATCCACCAGCTAAAACTCAATGGGTCTTTACACTGAACTGCTTCAAAACCGGACATCCCTTCTGAATTACTCGGCCTTTCAAAGATATTCTTTAGAGTTTTGTTCACCAAGCTCCAGAAACACTGTAGAAAACACAAAAGTTAATTTGAACTCTGTTCAATAAAAGCCTGTGTTAACAATTTTCTCTAAAATACTGTCCTATTGATTAATTTGCTTTTACAGAGAACAAGTCATTTAAAGAAAATAAGAAAAAGCAGTGGTCAGTATTAGCACAGAAAACCCGGAGGTACTTTAGAAAGTCTTCTCTCAAATGTCAGTAGAAAGCAATGTGAAAGGACAAGGTTGGGTCATGAGGAAGAACACGGTGCAATACTTCACAGACAAAATTACAAGCTGATAGATTGATGATGTGCAGACAGGACAGTGCACCAACACTCACAAGAGAGATAGATATTAGAGCTCTTTAATGTGGACTTTTTGGGACATATTTTCCAAAACCTTCTAATGCCAGACTAACCTAACCAATAGGAATATATTAGATGGTAGAGAATCGGTCTGAAAGACAGCAAACTGTTTTGTTGCAGTCTGTTCCAGCAATGACAAACTGATTAACTCTTTTTGGCTCAGACTCCTGTCTATATCACAGTATCACTTCTTCTTTCAGCCTGTGCCTATCTTGACTAGTTTTAGAGAAGCTCTCTGGGACTTTGCACCTGCACTTCACCCACCTTAGCTGGGTCCTGATCCTAACTTATGCTTGCCAGTGCAAATGCTTAACAGCAAGAAAGTTTTCACTTGTACTGTCCACCTTTACATCTGTAGTCAATAACAAGTAAATAGCTATCAGCACAAACATTCTACAGTGAAGTACTTCATTCCGTACTAAGTGAACCATACTCATTGTGCAGATGGTCACTTTGGTTCTTATAAAGATTATTTTAGAAAACTTTCAAAGGATTTTAACACTTCTTAATATTCATTCAGAGAAACCACAGCTCAATTCTAACCAGCAGTCAAGAAAAATTAAAACACTAGAAAATATTAGCAAAGGAAAAGAAAAAAATAGAAAACATCATTATGCAATGTATAAAAGCATATGCCCCCCTAACCCATACTTGGAATACTGCATGCAATTCTGGCACTCTGTCATTCAAAATAAGATGTAGTGTGGAAAAAGGTTCAGAGAAGGGTGACAAAGATGACTAGGTAAAGGATGGCACCTGAAAAAAGAATTACTGAATACAGTAAGACTCTTCAGCCTAGAAGGCAGAAGGTAGGAGATACAAGAAAAAAAGCAAACTGAAGAGGCATATAAAATTTTATTAGTATAAAGAAGGAAAACGGGTAGTGATTTGTTGACTTGCTCTTCCAATAGAAGTATAAGGGGGCATCTGAAGAAGTCGGCAACTACAAGATTCAAAATCAAAATCCAGGTTGTTCTTGTATAGATAGTTATCAAAGACAGAAATATGGGCTAGATGGATCATTGTTCTGACTGTACCCACGTTTCTAATGCCTGGAGATGAATCATTGCATGACATATAATGCAAATTGCAAATAATTTTTTTTTCCAAAAATTACTAAAGATGGATTTTTTTTTTTGTTCTTATATATGACTTTGCTTTCTTCAGCACAAGGAGCACTCCTTATCAGTGCCCTAGGTCATAACAAGCAGTACACTGCAAACCTAGTCAGGACTTCACACACACGGTCAAGAAAGTGCCCTGAAGCATCACAGTTAGCATGCAGTCCTCCTAAAGCAAATATGAAGTTCTGTTCTACCATCAGATCCGTGAACTAGTGCATTCATGGCAACATGGGAACGTTTGGTGACTGTATTGTATCTATAACATGCAAGCATATACAACAGTATTCTTCCATTACCTCTGTATGAGATCCTTTACTTCTGTGGTCTAGCAGCTGAATAAGTAGAATCCAGAGTTCTTTAATGCAGGTACAGGGATAATGGTGACTAGTAAGAGCCTCAGAAGGTCGCACCTGAAAGAACATAGAATAAAATTATTCAGAGAAGTGTTATTTTTGAAATTGCATTTTATATATCAGTATTTCCTCTTGTCTTGGCTGTTTAGTTTGAGGTTTTGGGGTTTTTTTTGCAGTTAAATAATATAGTTACAAGTACACATTTAAACGTGCATTATTTCATTAACATCTAAAATATCTCTATTACACAACAGAGTCTTTCCCAATTCTACATAAGTTACAGGTTGTGCTATTTCTTAGTCTTTTCTGATCTACTTTCAAACATTATTTAATCAAATAAAACCAGCATTCTAAGTCCTAAATGAAAAGGAATTACAATAAATACTGATTCATTGTCTGACAGAAAAGAAAAAATGATTGATTAGATTTTCTTGATGTTCTCAGGAAGAAAAATATTTGAAATGATTTAATAGCTATTGTTGTTATTTTTAACTGAAAAATCCTTAATGACTAGGCATAATGCTAGTAGAATATGTTTTTGTTGGCATGAGGATGTTAATGTTCCCACAACATTTCACAAAATCTGCTTTTCGGTAAATTTACTGCAAGGCATTCTTTTAATATGCAGAAAACAGCATATTTCAAGTCATGTACGTTTTTTGATTACTATTCCATATTTAACAAAATTCACTCAGACTGATGCATTTCAGATGCAAAATAGTCTTCTTGTGATTCATCTTTCGATTTTATATTCCCTGAATTGTGAAATGAAGTAAGTAAAACAGCAAAAGGAAGTGCTAAATACATTAAAAAAAAAAAATCTCTGTATGCTTTAATGCTTTTAAGATCTACCACAACTGTATTTGAAATAATCATAGTATAGACAAAACTTTACTTCCTCTATCCTAGGACCTATGAATCCACTGAACCCTATTCAGAGGTGGTAAAAACTGAGAGAAAACCTTTGCTTAAATAGTGTAATTCAGCACCTTTTACGTTCATCAAGGACACAATGGCAGAAATGTACAAAGAAAGGAGGGAAGACAAAGCAGCTCATACTCACTTTATCCCTAAACAACGAGTAGTTCAAGTCTGAATAACCAACCTACACCCCTCTAAAACAAAGAGGGGAAGAGGCACCTAGAGAGATTAATTCATCTCACTCACTGCAGAAGAAAAAACTCTTGCTATCCTTCCCTGACAATGAAAAGAGCCTCAGGTGACTAGTTTAGCCAACTCTTCGACATCTACATCTAATAATAAGATGGATCCTGAATTTTTATATCCTCATGCCCTTCCTGATCCATTCATGCACAGCTATTCTCAAATCACACTGGCATTTAAAGTAATTTCTAAATTTGGAAACCTAATGGTATAAATTAAAAATTTTATCAAAATATGCAATGCTAGTGACAGCAGTAGCTGTGTGAAAGAGGCATTACAAAAGTGGGAGTGAATGACTAAAAACCCACACTTTTGCAATGAGAACAAGTATATCACCATAGTTTCAAATCTCTGTAATATTCTACTAGGATGAAAACTTTTTATTTATCATAGAATAATATGTTTATAACTACTGTTTCATACAGCTCCAAATGAGGTTTAAATACTGAACACTTTATTATAAATATGAATTATATATATTTATAAATGTGACATATAATTTGTTTTTCTCTCGCTAAAGGATCCTGTTTATCTTATGAAATTGTCAGGGTAGACCCTGACAATCAATTTAAGAGCATCATGAGGTCAAGACTGAAATATTTTAAATAATTCTTTAAATAATTCTTTACACACATTCCACATATACTGTTTAGAGTATTTCACATGCCTTTGTCTCTCCTCACGCTTTTAGTTAAAGATCTGTTAGGGGAATCTCTCAACATCCTGAATTAATTTTATGCCAAAAAAATCTTGAGAATAAACATCAGTGTAACCACTAAAGTCTATTGTTTTAATATTTATTATTTAAATACTAACTTCCCAAAACTGAAGTGACTCAAAAATAACTCACTACCTAAGAGCAAAACAGATCTATTAGAAATGAGCAGTCTACATATTACAGATGCAGTATAACAGAGTAAGTTTTTATGAAAGTATTAGGTATACAAACTATCTTACAAATGAGAGTTTCATGCTTTCTACATGGACTACCGTTGTTGCAGGAACTAGGTTTCTTCATCTACTGCTTGCATCTACTATTGTGCTACTCTACAAGATTTCAGGATCTCTTCTGCAGACCTGCAGTATCCATTCAGGATAGAGTTTGGCCAGTAGTATCAAAGTAAGACACCATGTGGATATCGGTTAGACTAAGGATAACCAAGATATTGTTTTCTTCAGAGATACTCTGGATTTCCTCTCACAACATACTGAGTTCAGTGCCTTGGTAAGCATGTTTAAAACCTCAAATTGTGGTGCTGTTGGGACAACAGAGCTCTGGTGTCAGCAATGTGGCTACTGAAAATGGAAGATATCCAAGGATATATATTTCTTTGCCAAATGGGTCTCAGAGCACACTGAGGTCAGTACATCACCCAAGTCAAGCATCTTAATATCAGAGCTGCCCAAGAAATTGATCTGAAAATATGCATCTGGAGGACTAGACTTTATGTCCCTCCTTCCAAAGATACCCACGAATGTTAAAAGCTGCAGTCCTGAATGTTCTCAGCCAAAACTCTAATGACGTGTTTTAGTGATGAGCTGATGGTGTCATCTACTCTGGGTACCAGTTGCATTTTCAACAATTTTGAGGGATGTTATTTCCATTACTGTATGACAGCAATGATTGCATACTATAGGAGCCACCAGCTGAAGAGATGTTATCCAGCTCAAGTGCAAGCTTCACTCCAGAAATGAGTCTCAAATAGAACTAGTTCAAGCTGCGCCCCAAGCCTAGGGAGAGCTGAAGAAAAAGCAGTGGTAAAACAATCTTCTCTCTTTGTAATGTGGCTCTGTGGAAGTATCAAATCTGTCATTTTATCATCTGACATTTCAAAGCCTATCATCAAGCACAATGTTCAACAGATACTATTTGAATCTTCTTTTAAAAAAATTACTCATCTATTTGCCTTTTGACAGGGGAGGAGGTTGCAATATTATCTGATAATTTCATTGATCGAAACTGATTTTAAAAGGTAACAGCTCTACAGGAAGGTAGTTTAAAAGAACAGTTATCAAATGCTAGTACAGCCACCCCCCCTCACCCTCAAAAGTAACATGAAAGAAGGGAGATTCCATTTCTCATGTTTTTGTACTACGAAAATATAAATTATAAAGTGGTCACTGCTCAGAGTTCAGTCCTGCATTCAGGGATCACACATGCCCATCTGAAGCCGGTTTCACAATAACACAAAGAAGATTACACAGCTCTTTTTCTGGTTGCTCTGTGGAGCTATTGTGACTTTCTAGCTTTGGAGTGCTCAAAAATAGGGAGAAAAACACTGCAGCTATAGAAGGAATGAAAAAGAAAAGAAGAGAAGGACAAGTTTTCGCTTGACAAGTGTAAAAGCACAGTAACAGAAAGATGAGGTTGTGGAAACAGGTCAACAATAAACTGTAATATGACATTTTCTAAGTGTCCAGTTAGCTTACTGCCAGGATTAGTGTTATTCTCTTTTTGTTCCTGTTGAGAGAGTTTGAAAAGACTTTTTCTTTTTTTCATCTGTCTAAACCTTTTAGACTGTGCCATGTTTGGCATTAAACCTGGAACACTGAACTTAGGAAATGTGGCACTCACTTCTGCTCTGTACACAGTGCATTTCAATATTACTCTCTCATTCAACTGCCAGATGGTCATGAATAAATATAACACAATTTGAGCTTCTAACAAATAACACTCTTTAAAACATGGAGATACAAAGCCATACCTAACATTTAAAACTTAGCAATAAGAAGTCATCTATGCCTTGGTGCAAGAGCTAATTCATATGGTTCCCAATACAAGCAACTAACTGCCTGTGTGTTATATAAAGAAAAGGAGTTACCTTTGTATACTTGTTGATGGACAAGCTTATTAAATCAGATATGAGATTTCCACAGTGTTTTTCAAATAAACTGACACTGGTTAAATTCTCTCCAGTCAGATTTATGAAATGGTTAGCATATACGACTTGTCCTAAAACACAAAAGAAAATTAGACCTATTTAGTTCCAGGTTTCGCTGTAGGAATATAAGACAGAGAGGATTTTTTTTTTCTTATATATATATATGTATATTTTTTAAAATTGGTTTGTTGACCTGTATGTAATTTTAATTTACAAATTCACATGAGAATGTTGATCCTTTCTAAAATCAAGCTAATCCCTTCATTATTGCACAGAAATCTAGTATTATTCAGGTTGACAGTAAAACAGTTTGGCACTTTACAGCCTTTTATTGGCACCGTTTTTGTGGTGGAATAAAGATTTATTTATCTTCAAGTTCCTCTTTGTCACATGCCAGTGCGCATGTTCTGGAATCATGACATGTTTTGCAGATATGCAAGTTGATGACAAACAATTCTGGAGAGGTCTAACACTTTCCTTTGGATGTGTTGATGTAAAAAGCTGGCATGATCATGTTCCAACTTGAGCATTTGTAGACATTAACACAGATAAAATGGTAAAGTTAAGAGGCTGTAAGATCTTATCCCACAGGGTTTTCAACAATACGACTCCCTTGACATCAGCGGAGCAGATGATATGTAGAATGAGCCTGTATTTTATTCTTGGAAATGCAAGGTGAAGCCCTGAACCCACTATCCTGCCACTGGTCTCAGCAGTGTAAAGTTTCAACCCAGCATACTTTACAGAATGAGATAAAAACCTAAAAAATTCTAAAAGGCACATAAGAATACAAGATAAGATAATATAAGCAGAGATACTACTGTCTTTACTAGTAAATTTTATTGTTAAAAAGCACAAGCTTTCTCTTACAAAGATAGGTTACTGCATTATTACTCAGAACATTATCTAGAAATATATACTAAATTCTGGACAATAAATTGCCTCCAACACTTTTGTTATCCTTTCTCTAAAATGCCCCAAAAAAGGAAAACAGGTTATCTTGCAAGAGATCATAAAAGAAACTTAGAATTACAGAACAGCCAACCCACACACCATCCAGTAACACAGACACGCAGGAACAGAGACAATGTGTTAATCCGAGCAAGGCTGCGTTTTGACAGCACTCAGAGTTGGCAAAAACTAATCCAAGAGTTCAGATTTAGTACCAGTTACCTGGGCTAAACATACAGTGCATTATTTCTAGATCTCAACATTACTTCAACTGTTGCAATTCCTATATGGAACTTATATTGATAATTTATAATAAGAGCTGGGTCAGGGAGAGGAAGGTTTGGTTGTAGTGACACGAAGATTATAAAACAAAATACATTTTGATGATTTATTTCAGTAAAATGGACATGGAAAATAGACATAAACCTCAAAAAACCAACAAAAGTTCTCTTCTGTATTTTAGCAGTTCTTCAGCAAACTGAACTACTTTGAAGCTGGGTTTTTCAATTGCATTCTATGACCTTTTTTATCTAACTTATATGAGCCACTTACTTTTATCAATTTACTTCTTGCCCTTTTGAAGCCTTTTTAAAAAAATTTTAAAATGATATTGCCTTGCCTTTTTCTTGCTGTACTTTCACAAGCTACTCTGATTGATGCTTCTTCTGTTGCCCTATATTGTCTTAGTGCTGCACATGGTTAATAATACAAATTCTCTGCTCTGAGAATTCTGGTTCCAGTCCATCCCTGGACACTTTTCCATTGTTTTCATCAAATTACCATTCACTGCCAGGCATTCCGGATATCTGCAAATGCATTTTTATTTGTGATGTCAAGAAATGCATGGTCACTAAATATTTAGTACTTTTTATCAATTGAGAACCAACTGTCATCTTGGTCAAGTTTTGACAGAACAAATTCCTAATAAAATTTCATTTAATTTGAACCACATGAAGATTCACAAAGAACCTGCCTTTACTATATTTGAGTTTACTTCATTAAATACAGTTATGCTTAAAAACCACCAAAAGTAGCACATGATTCTGAACAAACTAGATGAGAAAACTAAGTAAGTCATATGTAAAGAGTAAGTTCAAGGAAAAAATCTGCGTACTTACTCATCATTTTTTCACCTAGTACATGAAGGACTTCCAGTATTAGCCAATTAATATCCAAGTGGAGATGTAGTAAATGCCATGATGGGGGAAAGACCTGTGATTAGAAATTACACACATTTACTTAGACAGTTTTTTAGTGAATTCTGGATTCTGTACTAAGACAGGGTGGTCAAGCTTTGGAACAAACTGCCCAGGTTAGCAGTGGAATCACCATCCCTGGCAGCTTTCAAAAACATGTGGATGTGGATTTGGGTTCATGGTTTAGTGGAGAACATGGAGCTGCTATAGTAACATTTGGACTTGACTTCTCCAACCTTAACGATTCCATGATCCTTAACGACTCTAAGATGAACATTACGGATATCTGTGATCAAATGCAATGCAACATACAAACATGTCATTCAGGTAAAGGAAAAAAAAGAAATAAAAAACTTTTGTGACAATTAATTCTGTCTGTAGAGGATGTTTATGAAGTCTTGATTCAAGCTTGACAAATTACAACACCCTTAGTTACTCTTCTGTTAACAGAAAAGTATTAGGTAGCACACAAGCTGCTAAAGTGAGCTTTTAAAACAATGCCAAAACTTCAATATTCTCTTCCTTAAAGTTGACTTGAAATTACTGTTTCATCAGCTCACCTTGTCAGTGGCTCTACTGACAAGGTAAACAAACAGAAAGATTCAAAATACTGCTTCTCAGTGGATCATTCCTTTCCAGATACTAGTCTATACAACCCAAGATCGAAATTCTTTTTCTTCTTTCTAAAAGATCTGAAAGCATTAGCTATCATACATATGCACAAATCCTAATGGTGTATACTACACCAGTGTTTAATGCTACAGTGCCTCCTTCCACATCTGCAGTTTTCTTTATATACAAGATCTTTCCTTATTCTGAACAAGATTTCAGAATGTATTTTTAAAGAAATGCTCCTCTTACTTGGAAGCTCAGAAACTGCAAGCATCAGTAGGGACAAACACCAAGGAATTTTTTAAACATGCTATGCTAATTCAAGCCTACTTATCTACCTCTAATTGGTATTATCATTTGTATAGCATAGGAAGAATTCTGAAGCTACAGAACATAAAAATACATAGATAAATAAAGACAATGACAGAAAAAAAGCAGAATTCATTAGTTGAGTATGCCAAATGCAGAATGGCAATTAATAGAGGAGAAAAAAAACCCAAAACAAAGATACTTATATTAAACCAAAACTTAGCAAGTTGAATACATAATGTCACATAAAAAGATTAAAATTATAGAAGACATCAACCTTTGCCTGATGATGAATAGTAAATGCTGCCAGGACACTACTAGGGAGTTCACAAAGGTGACCAATGTGCATAGTCAAAGCATGAAGCTCTTCCACCAATACTGACGGTAACTGCGCTTCTAGCTCTTCATACGGATGCAGCATTCCATCATTTTCCACTTTAGGGGGTTCCAGATACCTCAATATACATAAAAATACACACAATTAGAAAACAGGTAAGAAGCAGCTACACAAAGCTTGGTACCTAAGTTAGTAAATTGTGTGCAAATCTCACCTGAAGATGAAAACTTTCACATAATGCAAAAACTTAATACACTGATTCCTGATGCTCTCTGCTTCAGAGTGCAAGTTTGCAGCTTGACCTGAAGTAAAAGAGACCAACAGTTTAAAGCAGATGTGACCAACCCATGGCTTGTCTAACATTTGCATTCTCCACAGTAATTAAACCAGGCCACTTGAAAGCCACTCTCTCTTCTGAGGACAACTTGTGAGGTGGTTGGTGGCAAACATCCACTTCTAAAAGTCATCTTACCAGAGGTTTCATTCTTTATCTTACCATCTCATGCACATATCCAGATACAGAGAGAAAAGGTGGCCCTCAGGAAAGATGACAGATGTAAGCACCCAATGCTAGAAAAAAATAATTCAGCCCTACTACTCTGTTCCCTGACTGCTTCCAAGACACCTTCAGAGAAGATGTATAAAATAATTTATCAGCACCTTTTTCTCTTGGGGGACTTAAATAGGTAGATTTATTTGGAAATATGCTTTGCAGCTTCTCTTCCTAGGAAACATCATATTGTTGCACAGTGCCTTCAGGTGTGTAATACTAAGAGCCATCCATTCACAATCCTGCCTTTCACTTGCAGCTCTGCATCTTTTCAGCCAGTTTTTGCAGCTATGTGTCTCCTTTCCTGTGCTCTCTGAAGCTCTCGCTCTCATGGCATTACGATCCTCACCTTGCACCTGCAAGCTCAAACACCATCATTACAGCAGAGTCAGGGAAGGTCTGGGTTAGATAGATAAAGGTTCTTCACCCAGAGAGTGGCTGGGCACTGGTACAGGTTCCCCAGGGAAGCAGTCACAGCACTACAACTGACAGAGCTCAAGAAGAGTTTGGACAATACTCTCAGGCAGTTGTAGTGTGACTCTTGGGACTGGTCCTGTGCAAGGCTAAGGGTTGGACTCGGTCCTTATGGGTCCCTTCCAACTCAGCATATTCTGTGATTCCGTGATTCACTAGAAGCCACTGCCACTGGTGTGAGAATCATTCCTTATTTATTCCCACACCTTGCCTTGTAGCTTTCAGCTTTTATTAGAGAAAGATGAAACTTAGTGCATAACAAAGCAAATATAGTAATTTAAATACCAAATAACTACTGCTCAAATAATATATATATATACACACACAAAAGCTTAGCAACCAGTCAGCCTGCAACACATACACCTGATTATGCACATGCCAATTATTAAGAGCATATCAAAAGCAAGCATCAAATCGGGAGTTTGAGCAGGGTCAAATGAAAGCGCATCTTATTAGAGGAGCTGCGTGGCAAAAACTCTTGGTCACCTAACTACACTGGACTGCACATCCAGGTAAAACCAGTTGTCTTTGATCCTCTCCCCACCGGACCACTGGGGAGTCTTCCCTTTCTTTGTCTTGCCCTCGCTCTCCTTTTGTTTCCCCCCACACCCTCCAGATAACCTGGAAGTTCATGTATGTCACTTGTTACAGACTCCACAAATAAAGCTTTGAGTATATAAGCCTGTCTCAACATCTTTTGAGCAACAACACTCAGTGGGTGAAACATATCAACTGGTACGAGTGCCACAGCATTTCAGTGTATAGTCTACCCACCACACAAGAATGCCATAGCATCTGCCACGCTGATGAACCATAGGTTCTAAAAGAATTATTTATAGACATCACAGCTGCTTTGTAGCTATAACAAATACTGTAACCTAAGTTCTCAGAAGTTCTGTTTAAGCAAAATTTTATATTTTAGTATTTCACTACAAAATCTTTTGTATCCTACCATAAATCATTGAGCAGTGAAATAAGTGGAACACAATAGGAACAGTAGAGTGCTCTTAAGGACAGAACAGGCATTTTCAAAAAAAAAAAAAAAGACAGAACAACACAGAGTACAAGAAGAACTTTTATATGGCTTCCACATTAAACAGTCTTCAAAGCTCATTCAGACGACAGGAAACTGAATTACATGTATGATATTGATAACTATATAAACACACAGCACAACAAAGATTTACTGAGCTAAAACTCTTAACTGGGGTTTTAACCAGTGGCACATTTATCTAAGACATCAATAATACCCAACATCACGCTGCCTGATCACTTGAAATATTTCAATCCTCATGAAATTCTTCTGCTCATAGCCCACTTGTATAAGGGAGGAAGTGAGTCACAGCTGTGTGACTTGCTCTAATACACAAAGAAAGCCTGGTGCAAAGCAAAAAATTCAGGCTTTTTCATTTTACTAGCTTTACTGCAATAGGATACAAAGTAGTGAACTGAGAAGATGCTTAAATTCAAGGGAAAAAAGAACTATAGAACAGTTCTTTAGTGTCCAGCTACCATAAAAAAGTTCAAATGTAATTTAAAACAGGCTATTTCCACATATGTATTAAATGTCAACATAATTAGACTTTGAAGATACAATCAACAACAGAATATGAAAGAAGCTTGATAATTTCACAAAAATTATTTAAATGGCAGAAAATTACAATATCAAAACAAAATAATGTGTAAAAATATTCATTCATAGAACACTAGCACTTCAACTGTAATGAGAAGATACTACAACATTTTATTTCTGAGTAATTACTGAACTTCTCAACTTGCTAAGTAATTCAGCCCTCAAACTTACAATAAGCCCAAGGCTGCAATAATCCTTCAGAAACATACTGCTTCTCGTGCTTCAGTATTTAATTGAAACAAAGAATGTTGTAGTGATCCCATTTTATCAATCTTACTGCAAAGATAAATTAAGTTTGTAAATAACTCTAAACAAATATAACTAGTTTAAATGTAAGCCAAGAGAACACTGAAAAAAATCCCAAAGCACTACCTTTGTAACTAAAATAGCTATTGGGATTTTTGATGCAACTTTCCATTCTTAATTAAATGAGTTACCAGTTTTGCAAAATTCTACCTTAGGGCTGACACCTTAGCTCAAGTCACATTAATTCAACATTCCCACAAAGGTCAGTAAGGACTGCCCTGTGATATACCACACAGGCAAATCTGGTTACAAACTGACTCCAAACATTTCCACTACCTATTTTGATACTACTGTATCTCACTTGGTTGCCTGTATTTCTACCCTTACTGCAGTTTTATGCTGGTTATCTGCTGTTCTGCAGCACACTCCAAGAGTCCTTAGTCAAGAGTCAAAGCACAAGTGTGATCTGTGAGAACATACTTCTGTAATTAAAAGGTTGTCAGATACATATCCCAGTCAAATTAAATAATTAAACGTGTAAAACTTACCAAAATCAGAGGAACTCATTTGTACTAGGTTTTCCAGTCTGCATATCTGCTGCCTAATTAAAGGAATACAAAGGTTTATAGCATTTATATAGGTAAAAGTTCTTTAACTACACTTTAGTAAGGTCTAAATAGAACCGAGAAAGGTGAGAGGTGTTTCTTGCTTTGTAGTTCTGAAAAAGCATCAGAAATGTAACTTAGGAAAGACTGTTAGTGGTAGGCAAAAGACACATCCAAGCATGAAGGGATGACACTGATAGAATTTTTGCTTGTTTTTAAAACACTGAACGCAGTAACAACCAAATACTGCAATAACTGGCTAAATATTGGGGGAGGGAAAAACCAACCATACGCACCATAAAAGCCCGAAAGCCATTCCCTGCAAGTGATCTTTCCACACGCATAACAACTTCATATTTGACCATGGAATAAGCCTGAAAGTTAGTCCTTATGGCATACACTCAGTATACACTAAATTAATTCACTTGTCAATGTGCTCCAGTAAATTCTGTCACCAGTTTTTCCCGCTTAGGGTGGTAAGCTGCTGAACTCCAGCACAAGAGATAAACAGCAATAAATACAGTAGAGTAAAAGGAGAAAGTGTCTCTAGAAAAGTTAAAGCTCAGTTCAGTTTTGGAGAGGAAAGAGAACATTTTTCAAGAAGCTAACTGCCACTGCAAATGAAAATTTAAAAAAAGGTGTAACATAGGTAAATACTTGGCCATATTCTGCAACAACTGTTATTTCCAAGTGGTCTTCAAGCACAGTCTCCACAGAGATAATGCAGCACTAAACTGAATATATGAAAAGCACAACTGTGTCAGACAGACTTTTGAAAGAAAATGCTGTATAAATTGAGGAGGGGGCTCTCTGCCACATTTCTTACACAGTCAAAGCAACAACTACTGAAGGATTCTAAAAGAGGATACTTGGATCCAACATAGATCAAATGTTCTTATGGAAAAAACCCTGAAAACTAGGAGGCACCTAAAAGATCCAAAAGTCCAAATTGCAACCTGCATATTAAAGGGCAAACACTAAAACTATCTCCCTTAGTTCTTTCTTCATTGGGTAAAATCACGTCAGCTAGCCAAGATTATCTTCAGCCCTTTAAACGGGTTGTGGAGTTTTTTGGTCTGTTTTGAAATCAAAGTTGAATTTCTGCTTGGATTTTCAAGTATTTCAACCATGTAAAAAGGAGGAAGTCTGAAATAGGAGGACTTTATGAAACACATAAAGCTCAGCTGTTGAGACTGAAGGTTAGAGAAGGAAAGTGACAAAAAGGAGGCATACACACACAAATAAAAGAAAAAAAGACTCCCCAGTGAATTGACAAAAGACAAAATGCCGTGGGCTAATAAAATAAAAGCACAAACCGGGCATGAGAAGCATAACATAAGTACCATCATTTAAATAAATAATTTTAATTTCAATTTGCATTTGTACCTGAAAGATTAATCCTCATGGGTTTTAATCATTAAATAATTTGATTTGCAAATAAATATTCTGAGAGTTAAACTGGTACATCTGTTTATTAATCAAAGATATATTGTTTTAATATACTCACTTAAATGGTTACATAGCTCTCATTCACTTTCACTCACACTTCTATGAAAATTATGTGATCATGTAATCACATGTATTATTAGTATGCAATTACTGCTTTAACTTGCAGTTCTGCAATATACTATTATTATTTATTACAATATTAAAAACATTAAATTACAATCTTTAATATTATACTTAGACATTAAAACAGACTGTAAGCATGTATTTAAACAAAGATATTAACTGTACTTCATAAATTGAACTATTTACAGCCAGCTTATCCTCAAGAACTATTGTAACTTATAACTAACATATACAATTTCTACAGTGGAAAAAAAGAGTTATCCTACTTTCAGTTGTCAACTGGTCTATAAATGAAAGTGTTCCATTCTATGACTAAACAAATGAACTGAGAGAATATCTTTCCAGAGGGACTTGTCACAGCAAAAGACAGCTCAGCAACCAAACTTTCAATAGCTGAGAGGTAGCTGAAATCCATTATTCCTACCAGTTCAGTAGGTTTTAAAACACGTACAACTTGAATAACTTAAAAATGACAAACATTATGCCTTATGTTCATCTCTAGTACAACTACAGAGCAGTTTACACTAGAGAAAAAAAAATTGTTTTAATTCAACAGACCAACTGCGTTGCTGTGTCACTGCCCAGTGATTTTATGTTAATGAACAGTCAATAAATTAGACTAAATGCTGAAATTTTTAACTAAGTTAAAGTTAAATCTTCATTATCAGTTTGTTTTCAGGTTGTGGGTTTTTGGTTTTTTTTTTAAATATGGCAAAGTCAAAGCAAGCTTTAACACTTGTTTTAATACACTTCCTGCCATCTATGCCATCGTGTTTCAATAAGCAAGACCCTATTAATCATGTTTCACATCATGCCCTTGGTCAAACCCTAAAGGCATGGAAGAATCCACTATAATGAAAGGAATGATGGAATACATCACATATATTTGTGGAATCATACAAAAGCTTCTCTCCCATCCACTCTCTGTATGTGCTGTACATTCTGAGGATTATCAGTAGCAAAGAGGATTATCGGTGATCTGTGTATTTGCATTGACCAGATTAAGCATCTACATTGAATTAGTGAAACACTGAGTAACTGTATCTGAAGAGATTGCTGAAGCTATCCTAATCCAAACAATTGAAGAAAGTGCTGCATCCAGCATTTATAGTATTTGATTTTTAACCTCCACTTTCCTTTATGCACAAAAAGGGACTAAAAATCTTCAAAAGACGACTTCAATTATATGGGTAGCTCAACCTCATTCAAGGAAATCTTACATAGTTTGTTCATATATTCCGAAGCCAGAGCCTTCTAAATTAACCCCAACACTCTCTTGTAATAACTATACTTATCGATTCTTTATCTAGTGATGGCTAAGATATGTATCACACTACTGAGAAACTTAATAATAAGTCACATAATATTAAAAATCAGTGACACAATGTACTTCTTCCTGCAATCCCATCTCTGCCTTATCCATCACTTACTGGAGCATTAAACAGACAGCATAATCTTTTTTAGATGCATTGCATAGCCCACAGTCTTATATGTTATTACTATCAAAAAACTGAAAAGTTTGTTACATCTTTAAGGTGGGTATAACTACAGAGACAGATTAATTATAAAAATACAACGTTGTCATACCTAAGTAATCCAAAGAGAAATCCACAGGATTCAACTAACGCCATTTCAGTAACCCACTGAAAGCCAAACATTTCCACTACATCTTCTTCATAGTCATTTGGAGAAGGATCTAGTCTCAGCAAAACCCTGTAAAATAGAGCCAACAATATTCATACATTCCCCAATAATAAACCTATGGAATACAAAACCTACAGCTGGTTTATGTACCACCAATTCTTTTTATCAACACAACTGCCCTTCCCACTTTGGTATACCACCAAGTTGATCTCAGGACCATAAGAGCTGAAGAACGAACTGATCTGGAAATTTGTCAGCATTCAGAGGCACCAAACATGAGTGGAAAGAACATCTTAAAGGGTTCTTACCATCAGCAACATGTATCCTATATATGTCTCAAAAGACAGTTTACATTTTTCAGCAATATGATACATGGTATATGACAACACCTAGCTTCAACAGCATGAAAACAGAATATAGTCACAGGTCACAACATATTTTGAGACAAATAAAAATTAACAAGCTACCACCTTGAAGCATCTTCATCCTTACAGAGGGGCCAAGACATAACATGCACGTGTCAGTCCTTACAGAGAGGGCTGCCACATAAGATAGCACGCTCCACCATAAGTGTATGTTTGGAATCTGTCTCAATGCACACTACATGCCTAATAACTAATGCCAGAACATACATTAGTTTCTTTATATACATTTAATAATATTTATACAGAAAACTGATAAAAAGCACACTTTTAGGCAAGTGAACAGATGAGGGTCAAAATATTACCTCATCATTATAACTTAAATAACATTAGGCCATAAATATCCCTCACTCTGGTTAAAAAAAAAAAAAATTGAGTAAAATGGTAATTCTGATATTATTTAAAGTGTAGAAAATCAGACACCTGTATTGTTAAAACACTACTAATTGCGCAAATAGAAAAATATTTCATTAATGTCCTTTAAAAAAAAAAAAAGACAGTAAACTGTATAATAACAACATCAAAGTAAATTATTTCAGAATTTTCCCATGGTCCTTCATAAAATACTACCACAGAGATGAAGCTCAATTCACCAATATGCAAGAAATATTTCTATTCTAAAAACTAAAAAAATATATACTAGCCAAGCTCTTAGTTTTTATTACATTACACACCAAATTAATATTCTGCTTGAACTATGCACTATTACCAATTTAGTTCTCAGAAGCAAAAAGAGTATCTGCTAAATAATTGGCTTTATCTCCTGTAATACCTTAGTTCACTTGGTAACTTCTTAAACACTGGACTGTTTTGAAGTCTTTAGCAATTAAATCCAGCTATTCCTGTTCTAAGTAATGAAGACAAAAGAGTCCCTCACATATAGGCTTTTCCAAGACTTTACAATCCAGGTAGACAATGTAAATACACAACAGAAGAACAATATCATCACAACTAGCGATTGGGAAACCTGCCTACATACAAGCAAGCTCCTGAGTGAGTTTTAATGACAGAAACTATTTCAGTGAAATGTTTCTTTGTCACTGTGGAATCCACTACTGATATGTTCATGCAGACACAGGCTCCCTCAGCACTCTACTTGACATTGATTTGAATGAATGCACTACAATCCAACTAAAATATATCATAAATAAGGCATGGAATGGGGGAGGTGCAGTGGAACCCCCTCTTAGGCTTTACAGAAAAGGTTGTGGAAGTGAAGGTTATAAACAAAATAACACAAAATATGAGACTTGGCAGGAAGACAGACAGAAAGATTAGGCTTTTGCGGGAAAAACAAGACAACCCCTGTAGGATGAGCAAACAGCACAGAAAACTAAGCTGGATCACAGACAGTAAAACAGATAATAACTAAACCAAAGTAACATTTTAAAATATCACAGAAAATACTTACCTGCCGAGCATGCAAATTCTGAACCTTAAATCAAGAATGCATGCAAAGGTAAAGCTTTGAGAAAGATGGTCTTAAAGCTACAAAGGACAGTCCCAGCAATCTGGGGCAGCTGGGCAGAGCTAGTTTGTTTCTATTGTGTGGAACAGAGAGAAAGGGGCAGCATTTAATAGAGCATATGACTGGGAAAAGCAGTGCTGAAGCCCCTTCAGAGATTTAAGTGATCTCAGATGCTGTTGCCCAACAGGCCAGTTTTGAAGTGTCCTAACAGGCTTGTAAACATATCTTTTTCAATATCTTAAAAGCAAGTTCACAAAGCTAGGAATTGGACCTAGAACACCGTTCAAAGCTGTTTATAAACACAACTGCCCTTCCCACTTTGATATACCACCAAGTTGATCTCAGGATCATAAGAGCTGAGGAACAAACTGATCTGGAAACTTGCCAGCATTCGCAGGCACCAAACATGAGTGGAAAGAACATCTTAAAGGGTTCTTATATTTGTAATTCACAAAAAATCTCATACCTCTTAAGAGACCCATTTGCTAAATAAGACTCTGCAGAGAAGCTTCTCCCTCCATTTTGGTTGTCAAAAGCACAAGAAAAACAAGGCGGTTTCTCATTCTCCACTTCCATTGCCATCTCCAAGCTCTCAGTAAGAAACGGGGGTGTGGACAAAGCCTCAAATTCGTCCTCCATTGTTTCCACCTGACCCAGAAAATAAACAAATGTTAAAATACCCATAGTGTCTCTTCAAATAAATTTCTCATTGTTACAACTCTGCATAATCCTTCAGCTCAAGTGAGGACACAGATCCGATTAATTGTAACATAAAACTAAAAGCTGAGAGCACCAAGAAAGGCAATCACGGTTTCATGCTGTGCCTCAAAATTCTGCCGCTTTGTGCAACTTCATCTTCCTTCGTCACAACCTGTTAAAGAACTCAAATTGGTAACTAAAAAAAAACCTGAACAGATTCATTTCCTTCTGGTTTAGCTATCTAAATTAACTAGCCACAAGGTTAGACTAGCAGTAGGGCAAAATATGGGGCAAAAAATGCAGGAATGCATTACAAGGCATAGGTGAGCTACTTTCAGCAACAGTTCATTTTATGACCAGAGTAGCTATGCTATGAAAATACATCATGCATTACAGGTTCCCAGTTGCCCATAACTTTAAGGCAACATTACAGCTTAAGTTCCTTCTAGGAAGCAGTAAATACACCCCACATGACAATTACAGAACCCTGAAATGCTAAACTTTTAAAGCTCAAAAAATTACTGTACAGCTGATTCTCACATAGTTAGAAATTCTTATTAAAAAAAAGTCTAATTATCTAGGAATCTGAAAAAAGAGAAACAAAATCAAAGAAGGATTATCATGTCCAAAAGAGGTTCACTGTATAGTTAGTTAGTGTATTCATATACAACATATTAAAAGACCTGAACCAGGCAACAAGTGTCACAGAGTTCCACGAAAATATGCAAACAATATAACTAAAACCCTACATTAAGTTTTCAATTTCATTGCTGGCAGATTTTGTTACGGTTCTTGGAGAAACTAGTTTACACCATGGCTAGAAGTGGGTAGTACAGGATTGACTGAAAAATAAGCTCAAGGAAAAAAAAAAAAGAAAACAGTTTCTGTTGTACTTTTTCCCATCCATTCACATTTCTGCAGAGCAGCAAGAAGGGAAAGAACGACTTCAGTGCTCCAGTTTACAGCAGGCCCTATGTACGGGTGTTGGCACAGCTGGCGAGGCAGCTGAAGGGAATGCCCTCAACCACATGAATTTCTAAGGAAAACCTGTTCAATTGGGGGTATCGAAACCGCCCCAGACGACAGAAAACACTGGGAGAAAAGGTACAAAAAGAGCAGCTCTTCCCGGCCGCAACTCCCATCAGCTCTGTACTTGTCTATCACACCCCTGATCCCGCGGAACCAAATCACTTTAAGCACCGCAACTTTCTCGGCCACCCACGCAGGAGAAACCTCTCAGGGGGGCTGCAACGCGCGGGGCAGAAGCTGCAAACCGGCGAGGGAGGCGCCAAGAGGAAGCATCCCAGCCGCCAAGGGAGCCGCCGGCGGGCAGCACAGACCCCGGGGAGCGGCCACGAAGACGACCCGCTCGCGTGGCGCCCGCGGCCCAGCGCCGCTGCCCGCTCCCGGGGGGCTCTGGGCAGCGCAGCGGCCGTACCTGCGCTGCGGGGCCGCCGAGCCCCTTCCGCGCCCGCCGCCCGTCCGTGCGTCCCGCGCGCCACCGCCACGCGGGCACTGCGCAGGCGCCGCGGCGCCGATTGGCCGCCGGCCGCTCCTCCTCCCGCGGCGGCCGCTCCTGCTCCCGCTCCTGCTCCTGCTCCTGCTCCTCCTCCTGCTTCTGCTTCTCCTCCTGCTCCT